CCATCCCATCTGGGCAGGTATAGAAGATATGTTGTGGGCCCCATCAGTTAAGGAATTCCAGCTGGTGGGGTCCAGAGGGAGAGCCTTCCCTGCTGTTGCCCTCCCCCCTTTAGAACATTCTTCCACCAGAGAAGAATGGTCAGGAGAATGGGCCTCCTTCCCCTGGCCTTTATGTCTCCCCTATCTCACTTGCAGCCAAAGAGCTGGTTACTGCATTGGGAGCCCACTATCCTTTTAATTACCTTTTAACGTCTAATGTTAACTTTGCCTCCACTTCAATTTTTTATGTTCAGTTTTTATGTTTTTAACATTTTATTTGTATACCACTTAGAGCCCCTTTGTGAGGGAGATAGGCAGTTCCTAGATTAATACATGAATAAAAATATGTGTCCACAAGTATTGCTAATATCGTCATGGACATAGTGAATAATTTGCAAAATCTTTTGCAGATAAGACAGAAACATGTAGAAAGCTTGACTTCCAACATCACATATTTCTGCTCCAGAATTGCCTCATACCAGAGCTTCGTGAACTCCATTTCTATATCTTCTGTAGCAGTGTCATTTTCCACAGTGAAAAAAGAAAAGCTGGAACTGACTCAAACAAAAAAATCAAAGTGTTTCTGTGAACTCAAAATGATATTGGCAAACTCTTTGAAACATTTGGGTTAAACGTTACTTACAGAATTGACAGTTGGGAAATATAGTAAGTCAAACAACCAGCGGCCAGCTGTTTCCTCCCACAAAGTAAGCTTTTGCTTTGAATGATTTAACACTGTTACACATCTGTGTTATCCTGTTTTCTTCACTGAAATTTCAATTCAAGTGAGCCCTTATATCTGTTCACAAAATGACAGTTAAATGTTGAATTACAGGCTGAAGAACCTCATTGTTTTCAATATTCATGAAATAAATAATATCCTCTCTCTCTCTCTCTCTCTCTCTCTCTCTCTCTCTCTCTCACACACACACACACACACACACACACACACACACACACACACACACACATACACACACACACACACACCCCTTTGGTGTGGCATAGAAGTTAGCCATTCTGGCTGTTTATATAGGCTAAAAAGTAATTGCTTATGATTGAGTCCTCATGCTTCTTTAACAGCTACATCCACAACTTCCTTAATTTACATAGCGTTCTTCATAAAAATGTAACACTTATCAATGACAGTGATAAGTTACTGTGATGGTGTGAAGTTTTTTTCAGCATACCAAGTAAACAATGTTTACAGAACACAAATGAAAATGTACTGTTTGCAGGCATAGATATATTTCTTCCATATCAAAGCAGTTTATTTGTTCTGGTCTTTGAAATAAGTTTTGACTTGTGATATATTTCAGTTTAATTCTTTAATTATTTTCAAATTACAATCCACATCTCAACAGAATGCTATGCATGGTGAAGTACTTCAAACATCTGTAAAAGATAATTGTCTTTTGCTGTTGAAATCAATTGTTTTTTTGTATTATCCGCTAAATTATAGCTGTCAAACTTTTGCCTTCACAAATTTACCAGGAGATAAATCTCTGTTGACCTTTATAAGACATTTTATAAAAAGTGATGGTAATTTAACTATGATTTCATTTATCTCAGAAATTATTTTTAATGAATCTTCTCTAGATATGCTAGTATTTCAGGTGGCAGGGAGTGAAACCTGTATAGCAAATGCTGGTTTAAGTCATAGAACTTTTTCTTCATGTCATTTTCTAATTTAGGCTCATGATACATTGATGTTATGTACATCAATGGTCCCCAACCTTTGTGACTTGGGGGGAGGAGAAGGAAACTGAGTCGCCTGAGTGGTGGCCTGGCATGTGCGCCACTCCACTCATATAAGAGAAGCTTTTGGGATACGGTTTCGTGCTCCTTCAGGCTTTTCTGCACCAAAAGCTTTTGCAAAGGGAAAGTCTGAAGCAGTGTGAGATCGCTCCCCAAAGCTTTTAGTCTGTTTGCAAAAGCTTTTAGCACGGAGAAGAGAAGCTTTTGGAGGGCACGGTATCATACTCCTTCAGACTCACCGAGGCTGCCCAGTGCTCCAAAATCAGATTGGATGTCCTATACTGGCAGCCTTGGTGAGCCAAGCTGAGCAGGGCATGCTCATCTCACTCAGCCTTTGCTCTCACCACTCTGCACTTGGACATCGGGATCAGGTGGCTTAGTGGCCTGGCTGGGGAGGGAGAGGGGAACCAGGCCATTTGCGTGAATAGAGCTTTGCGTGCACACAGGGCCGCCTTTTTTGTAGCCTGGTTCTGAATAGGCCATGGCCTGTTACTGGTCCAGGGATTGGGGATCCCTGATGAACATGATGCAAGATGTTATATTCCTTGGGAATCAGAATTGCTGAAAAAATAAGACACTGAACTTTGCCTTTTATTTCTATGAAAAAATATGTATGAATTTTCCCATTTGTCTTCGGAAAACATTTTTCCTTCCATAATTCTTTTTAATACAAACATACTAAATCTGCTGATGCCTTCAAATATCAATGGTACAATACATAAGAATGAATTGCCTGAATAGGCTTGAACACTTGCTTCATTCATGTTGGTGATAGGCATCAAAAAGAATAATGCATAGAATTGCACAACCATTATTCTTTCTGTGTTATACACTTATTCAGTGCTTCTTTTTCTATATTTTTTTTTATTTTTATCATGTTGATTAACCAGAAAGAGGCTAGTGTGATGAATATGATTAAAAGGTCTACAAAGGCCTTTCAGTGTATTGTTGGTATTTTTCACCAATTTCAGCTAATTCTGAACATTTGCTTTCCTGACATAAGCTCAATAGTTCCAGGCTATCTCTGCGTATTCTTCTTTTTTATTTTATATGATGTGCATGTATATATTCAATCTTAATAATGTACTGTTGAAGGAAAAATCTTCATCAGGGTCCAGTCCAAGCCGGGAACAAACAACATGGCGACTGCTTTAGAAAGAAGGTTGTAATTTATTGAAGAGGAGAGCCAGACAGAAAGATGCCTCTGAAAGAGAGAGAGAGAGAGAGAGAGAGAGAGAGAGAGGCCACATGCAGCAGGGAGTGGGATTTTATACCTTCTGGGGCTCTTGAGATTGTTTCCTGTTTCTGTTTGAGGCTTTGTATTTCCTGTGTCATGTACTTTGACCTGAGTCTGAGTGTGCTCCTTTGGCATCTGTGGGTTAATCCTGTTATGTCCTGTCTTAGAGTTTGGGCGGGGTATGATTTTAAGGGCTTTTGTCTGCCTGATCTTTTCAGCTTCTAGCTGGAGGGCTCCAACCTTCCTGAATGGATTATTACATCTGCATTTCTAAAAGCTGTTTTCTGCTGAGTTGTCTGGCTGTGGGTGTGTGTGGGTGTGTGTGTGTAGAAGTTTCTTCCTTTTTAAAGATCTTCTCCATTATTCCTTTGGGGAAATATATTCTGCCTTTTTAATATTCCCCAAAATATTTCTTTCTCTGGATTCTTCCCACAGTACTTTTGAGGATTATTACAATTCCTTTGTTTTGAATAGTCTTATAATCAGATTCACTTTCATCTTGTCCATCTATGTTCATAAAACATCTAATTAAGAATGTTTCATTTCTGCTTTAATCATTCCAGATTCTTTTTTATTCTTCTTATACTCCTTGTTTCCCTTGTACTTATCCTTGTAAAACAAAGAAGTTCTTTTTGAATATTGGAAAAATCAGTGATCAGAATTTCATATAGCAGTGATGGCAAACCTTTTAGAGACTGAGTGCCCAAACCACAACCCAAAACCCACTTATTTATCGCAAGTGCCAGGGCCGCATCAGCATTGTGGTGCCCTCGGGGGGGGCAGGGAGGTGCATCTGAGTGCCGCCTCTGGCACACAAAAACCAGGGGCGCAAAAATGGGCCACCATGCTGCAAGGCGCAAAAACGGCCGCTGCCACGCCGCGGGGTGCAGATACAAGGTGCTGCACCACGCAAGAACGGGGCAGGGCTAATGAGTATCATGCAGGCACTAGCCCTGCCCCATTTGCAGCACGTACATGCTCGTGGCCCCATGCACGCATGCACACATGTAAAATGCTTCCTCCTCTCTTCCAGTCCACCAATTGACAATGGTTGGTGACCTCTGCTCTACCACCTCTACTCGAGCTTGCTAGTTGGCCGCTTTGCCTCCTTTGTGCTGGGTGGGGCTCTTGCTCTGGGCGGCGGTGGCGCGCGTGCCAACACAGAGGGCTCTGAGTGCCGCCTCTGGTACGCGTGCCATAGGTTCACCACCACTGTCATATAGTTTGGTCTGGTTATCTTCTCAAGATCTCCTTGTGAAACTTCAGTGCTCTTTCCCAGTAACTAGAAGAAGATCTTATGGTCTGAAGATAAGGCATTAATTTTTTTCTAAATGCAACCATGTCAATATGGTTTTCTTGGCATTAGATTGCTTATTTCCTTTTCTATATTTACTTCTGGAGGGTTTTATTTTCTAGCTGGATCAACCTCTCTCATTATTTTAAATCCTACCTGCCCTCATTCCTCTTTGAATTACTCTTAGGCTTAATCCATTCCCTTTAGAAGCCAGTTCCTTTTCTGGACAGTACCACATTCTGGATCATTGACACTATGGTAAGGACTGTTTTTTTTGTTTTGTTTTTTACAAAAAATAGACGATATTAATACATTTTAAAAGTGAAAGTAATTAAATGTGCACTAGGCTGGCTTTCCTCTAAAACATACAGTAAAAATAAGAAAGCAAAGATACTGAATTCAGCTGCATCAGATCTGGTAGACTGCAGCCTCTTATACCAATCTAAGGGTAATTTTTTCTACTTTCCATTTTCTCTATTGAAGAAAGCAAGATAATTCTAGAAAATGAAAAGCTAAAAAGCATGCCAGGGTAAGTATTTTTCTTTAAAAAACTTCAGACGCTATTTTTACATCACATATAAAATTGCTGTGAAACCTTGACAATACTAATACTAATTTCCCCAGTGTCATGATTAATTTCTATAATTAAAAAACACCCAAAATTACATCATAGGTTAATATCTTTATTAGAACAATTTAAGATGTTACAGTGGTGTTCTGGAGATCTCAATAAAAGCATGCATGAGCCAACAGAAGAAACATACCAAGCCTAAATTTAAATGCACGTGCATTTAGTCTGTTACATATGAGAAGTTACTAATAGATCTTTTTCATTTTCAGTTGTGATATATCTGTAGAATGAAAGTAAGTTTTCATTTTTAATAAGCAAACTATCATGTTGATAACATGATCAAATACTTTCCTAGCATTGTGGTAAGTCCTATTGCAAAGAAATGGGCAACTGAAATGTACTTTATCTTTTTCTTTCTGTGAGCTCTACCACACGCTAATTTGACTGGCATGCATTCCTATTGAACACTTGATGTTGAACAAAAAGTGATACATTTCAAAAAGCTGTGCTGTTTTTGGAAAATTCATTTGTATTAACTTGGCTCCTCTTCGAGAATGGAAGAAGCTGGTAGCCTCATGAGTTCACTCTATGCTTGCAGAATCTGTTTTTTTCCAGAAGGTACTGTTTGCTGTGTCCTGGAGCCTTGATGGATTTCATTTGGTTTGTTTAATAAAGTTTGCTTCAGTTTTTGCTATTGGGCATGGAAGATGAAATGGGAAGTACTGAGTGCTTAACATTATCTTGACTTAGTTTATTGGATACTTGAACAAAGGAAAACAATAGTTAACTTAAACTGTTCTCTGCCATATACAGACAATATCATTCTGAAAGTATTACAGATCTGTGGAATTGTGGCAAAATGATGGGTTGCTAAAACTGATGGTAGAAAACATCTGCTTCTCTTTCCTGCCACTATAGATAGAATGATTGCAATTACATCAGATTTTTAAAAGCTGCTCTGTATTGAGTCAAATCACTATTCTATCTAGCTTTGAAGTTTCAGGCAAGGTCTTCCCCAGTTCTACCTTGAAATGCTATAAAACTAAATTTAGAGAAAATCTTCTATATACTCTAATCCTTCTTAGAATAGGATAAATTATATTCTGACACTGGTTAGTGGTAAAACGTTATCTCCCTTCAGTCCTTCTATAGGCTATTTTAGAGATTTGGGAATGCAACTTTTTTATATGCCCTTCCCTCCCAGGTTACTAAATATTAAAACTCCCAGGGTGGAAAGAGAGAAGGCAACTGCAACAAGAATAATACACATATGTACCTACGTGTATCAGGAAAGATAAGATAATGCTTCCCTTTCCTTCCACTTGGCTACCCAGAAAACAAATGCTATTGAATGTTCCTTGAATTTGTAATTTTTCCATCATAATTATAGCCATAAGTATCACAAAATTATAACATGTTTCTAAACTATTGTTTTAAAGCTACAATATTGACTTTGTTTTCATAACACGGCAATATGTTCAACTGGATGAATAAATTCATAACCTGCTAATTTACAGAAAAACTGCTTTCTGAGTAAATGATATGAGTAAATAATAAAATACAACAATGCAGCATATGATTTCAAAGATCTGATCTAAGACATTCATTCTTAATATATGAACAGAAAATTATTACAAGTACATCAGAATCTCTTTGTTGATCATACTGGATCCTATTTATTGCCCTGGAATGGTTTCATGTGAGTTCCATTGGTTCCATTTGTTGGCCTAAAAAGAAAAGACAGAGCTTGAAATACGTGCAATACAAAGTGGCTGACCTTTTTGAATCAATGGGTGCATTTTAATTTTAAAGGTTCTCATAAAAGGGATAATCTTTGGTGGACTGCCTGTTCACTGTGGTTATGGTAAATCACAAAAATATATTTATTAGTGATAGTACATATGGGCTACAAAAATCTGGAGAGCCATTAGACCATGGCAAATGGGACACAGTTGTCTTGATTTTTGCAGCCCAGATCTGGTAAACCTATTTATGTCACAAAGCCAGCTATCCAGTTTGTATTCTGCCAAACTCATAACTTTTTTTTATCATATGGGGTCGATCTCTGGGCTGCTCATGTCCATCAAATGTCAACCTATTTCTGCAATTAAATATTGAAGTTTAAAAATTAACCTGGAGATTGATAGCATGTTTCAACCCAATTTTAGTAAGTGAAACTTAAGTGTATGGAAAGGGGCAAAGGGCAGCATAATGGAAAACTCACCGTATACATTTGCATTTTCTTCTGCTTCTCCTTGGACCTTTGGCAGGAAAAATATATATATATATATATATTTGAAGAAATAACATTTTGCACTGTTTTGCTATTCTTTCATTTTTTTATATACTGTATTACCCAAATTCATAATGATGATAGATACAGTAGACAGAGATTCTCAATCATCCAGGTCATGGTTGCCCAAAGTGCTTTTCAAAAATCAACTGGATTTTATAAGTTTTTTCTAGAAAATGTTTCACTTCTTAACCAACAAACTTCTTTAGGTCTGACTGAATGGTGGGAAATGGAAGAATTTATATTGTTTGCAGTCATCTGGTCGTTAGCACTCTGAAGATCAGTTGTTAGCTCTCTGAGAGTCATTGACGCCACTTAGGGTTTTATCTATATCCTCAGGGTCACCTGAATCAGAGAACAAATGGGTGTGGAACCTGCTTGGGACTACCGAAAGGACTGTATTGAAGACAAGAGATAGGTGGTGTCGTATCTCTCCCCCTCTGTTAAGAGAGGGCTGCTCAATTTTAACATAGATGGCCTCTTTGACCTCTTTTTCAAAGAAGTGGTCCTACTGAATCCACCAGGTGGACTGCTGAATCTTGTCCTGATGCATTTGCCATCCTATGTTGTGCCATGCATTTGTGAAGTGGTTGTTTCTCCAAAGTACAGATCTGCACATGTCTCACTGTATTGTACTGCATGTATCACATTGCTCAATATGTGTCTGGGTGTTTTATCCTTGGGGGTGAACAAGCTTCTGCCCTAGTGTATTCTTGGGTTTAAAATGTGTATGTATATTGTGTTGGTTGAAAATCCTCCTGCGCTTTGCAGATATTCCTGCAACATATGGAATGACAACGTTGTTTCTTTTGTTCTCTCTTTTTTTCTGTTCTCTTCTTTGTCTTCTTTGTTCTTCTTCAGACCAGTGCATGCTGCCACATAGGAGGACAAACCCATCAGGACAAGATTCAGCAGTCATTTGCATTTGAAAGACAAAGACCACCCTTTTGAAGACAGCAAAGTCCATATTCTGGACAGAGAGGACCACTGTTTGAAAGAGGGGTAAAAGAGGCCATCTGTGTTAAAATTGAGCAGCTCTCTCTTGACAGAGGGAAGAAATACAACACCTTCTATCTCTTATCTACAACATAGTCCTTTCAACAATGCCAAGAAGGTTCCACATCCATTTGCACCCTGACTCAGGTGACCCTGGGGGTACAGATAAAGCCTCAATGACTCTCAGACTCAGAGAGCTAACGACCCATCTTCAGAGTGCTAACAACCAGATGACTCCAAAAAATATAAATCCTTCTATTCCCCACCATTCAGTCAGAACTGAAAAAGCTTCTTGAGTACTATTATGAAGTATTCATCTCCCCCCCCCCCCAATTTTCCTCTTGCATGTGGATATGTGGACTGCAGAGTGGTTTTAAATTTCCATCAAAAATGTTTCACAGTTTTAGAATGGCTCAAGTAAACTAGTTCTTAATGTGAATAAGTATTCATAATCACTCCAGAAACAGGAAGTAAGATACTAGAATGGGCTCCATCTTTACATGAGTAGATATATGTCTAATTTTAAACTAATCTCTTAGTAACTGTCAACAGTTGAACCATCAAACATAGTTTAAAGGAAATCTTCTTACCACAGCACAGTGATATGACGATTATCAGGGTTATCAGCAGAAGAAGAGAAACACCAGCTAAGGGAACCCATACATAAAGTTCACAGGAGAACATTGTACTTTTTGTATTTGTCGTTACTGAAATACAAAGCAAAGGAAGAGCAACACTTTCAAAAATGTTATCCCTCCAGTTTTTGATAAGGTCTTATTATTTGAAGAAATTTATTAATCTATTATAATGAGTTGCGTTGTACAACTTGTTCTAGAAGAGCAATTGTTAATTGCCAGCCTAGAAACATAGTGGAAAAATGTAGTGTTTTTTTGTAATTTTCACTATTTCTCTTATTAGTTTAGGGGAAGGTCCTTATCTTTTCTCGTCAGGAACATCCCACATCCTTCTATGGGAAGGATCCCTGNCCCTGAATCCCACCATCTTCCTACTATGCTTCATCTCCTTATATTTACTCCATATACTTAAAAAAGAGAGGTTAATATAACTTGACCCTGTTGTGAAGTTGTATCTTCAACTTCTGATATGTTGAAATGATATTATGAGTTCTGTAATGCTTTAGCTGAACAGCAACATGGCTGTGATCCTCAAGTAGCTATAGTGCCAGTGATTACTGGCAACTTTGCAGAAATGCTTATTAATATATCATAAGGACCTGCCCCATCCCCTTGGCTTTTGTTTGCATTGTTAACTGACTTGCATTATTCCTCTCTGGCTCAATGAGCCTTTCCAACTGTTTGCTCCATTGGAGAAGAGATCCACAGGAGGAAGAAAGACAGAGAAGCAATATCAGGATGCTCTGCTCAGCTAATGTTAAGCCATAACCAGAGATGCTTCTCTCAACAACTTAGAATGACTGTGGAACTTGCATTTCGATGGATGGATGTTGTTTGCAGCATGAGGTGTTTTTTGTGGTAAATCCAGAGCTTAAAGTGTTTCATTTATGCCCTCTAATTTGTAAGTAAGCTAAGGAAACATACCTATGACTGTAGAATTGGGACATTTCATAGCTTCTTCTTTTATCAGTTCTTTGGTGGTGACTGAAATTTGCTGTGGGATGGTAGGAAGCACAGTAGTAGTTTTCACTGTAAACAAGATAGATATGAAAGTGTATTTCTTCTGTTTTCATAGTTAATGGCTGATGGTTTATAACAAGGTTTCTCCTCCATAGTTTTAAATGATTCCAAAATCATCATAGATATGATAAAAGAAAAAAAATGTAGAGAAATAAAGCAATTCTCTCCTGATTAATATCATCCCCAATGATGAGAGGAAAGAAAGCCGTACTTTCCCCATATATATGATAAAAGTACATGCTAGAGTAGAAGCTGATCTGGCAGGGAAGATATAAATGGGGAATTTAAAGCTTATGATGAAACCTACCTGGCAGGTGTACTAGGATGCCTGAACTAAAACTCAGCATCTGATTGCGATGGCGCATACAAAAATAGGTACCCTCATGTTTCTCCTCAAAACTGGCAATAGTTAGCTGGTAATAGTTGCCATTTTTTGTAGACTTGTAGCCTTCAAGATTACCCTTTATCTCTCTAGATCTTGATGTAACATGTGCAATGAAATGGAGTTTGTTATTCAGTTTCTGAAGAACCCAGAATACACCAGCATCTATGTAGTCAGTCTCACATTTGAATTCCACTTTGGTTCCAAAAGTTTGGGGAGAATTGCTGATCATCTTGATTTCTAGTAGGTCTGTTTCGAACACACAGCAGCCTAGAGAGAGGGGGAAAGTTCAGTTGCAGTCCAAGAATTTTAAACACATTCTGATTGTCTGGATTGGCTGAAAGGCTATGAAGTTAAGAAAAAAGTATTAAACAGTTCTGAAATGAGTGTTGATCTAGGACTGGGGAAACCCAGTTTCTAATCCATTTTCAGTCATGGGTACTGATTGGGTGGCTTTGGTCAGTCATGAAATAACAAACCCAGCATGGCCTACAATAACGTGATGGGAAAAAGAGATGGAAGAAATGCAATTTGCTATCTTTTGCTTTTAAAGGAAAGGCAGGATATAAATCTTTTTTTTCAAAAAAAGAAATAGCAACAAGATGCAGATAAAAAGGTGTAGGGCAATAAAGTACATTGGAAAACTTTTTAATTTAGTCTTGGAATTGTTAGTAATATATCAGTTTTTGATATAAATGGGATAAAGGTCAATTCTTTTGAATACAAGATGCAAAAATGCAATTATACTTCATCATTACCAGCCCTAATAAGTAACAGAATAACAGAGTTGGAGGGGACGTTGGAGGTCTTCTAGTCTAACCCTCTGCTCAAGCAGAAAATCCTATACCATTTAGACAAATCGCTATCCAATCTCTTCTTAAAATCTTCAGTGATGGAGCACCCACAAATTTTTCCACTGATTAATTGTCAGGAAATGTCTCATTATTTCTAGGTTGCTTCTCTCCTTGATTAGTTTCCATTCATTGCTTCTTGTCCGGCCCTCAAGTGCATTGGAGAATAGGTTGACTTCCTTTTCTTTGTGGCAGCCCCTCAAATATTGGAACATGGCTATCATGTAACCCTTAGTTGTTCTTTTCGTTGAATTAAACATATTCAATTCCTGCAACTGTTCTTAGCCTCCAGATCCCAACTCATCTTTGTTGCTCTTCTCTGCACTCTTTCTAGAGTCTTTTTTATATTGTGGTGATCAAAACTGGATGCAATATTCCAAGTGTGTGTTCTTATCAAGGCCTTATAAAGTGGCACTAACACTTTGCATGATTTTAATTCTATTAATGCAGCCTAGGTCAGCATTGTTGCAAATCCATCTGATTGAGATGCTCTCTAACCCATATTTTTCTATCTTACCAAGACATAGGATGTAGTCTACTTTATGAAGTGCCTTACTGAAGTACAAATTATGTCCACATCATTTTGCTGGTCTAATTTAGTCACTTTGTTTAAAAATACAATAACGTTTGTCTGGCATGATCTGTTTTTGACAAACCCATGCTGGCTTCTGATTATAACTCTGCTTGCCTGTAGAGGTGTTCATACTTTCATTGCTTGATTATCTTTTCTAGGATCTTGCCAGCTATTGATGTTAGGCTGATTGGTCTGTAGTTTCTTCCTGCATCCATTCTTCCCCTCCCCCGCCGCTTTTTTTGAAGATGGGAACCGCATCAGTTTTTTTCTGGTTATATGATTTATATTCTGGATGTAAGATTAATTGAAATAAATCTAATTTACTTCCTTTAAGGTTGGATATCTCATTAGAATGGTTGATATAGATAGGATTTCTGGTCTCTATCAATTTTATTAAATATTTATGGATTTATATTCCCATATTTCCAAATCTGTCCAAGTTAATATGTCTGCTGGAACATATTACATTAGATTTTGATAGATGTTATAAGATACTTTTGACTTAGTGGGGTAAAATAAATGTGATTAAAATAAATATAACTCTCAGTCTTGTATAAGCTTTAAGAGCAATAAGTATGTTTAATCTAAAAAATATTTTGATCAAAGTGATATCAGTTGGGAAAGTAACACACCTAGAATCTCTCTTTCTAAATTAAATTTGCCTATGACAGATGGCAGTTTTAATCTTCTGAATTTTCAGAACAGTTAGTGGCCTTGCATTTTAGTGTAGATATTTTATAGGAATGATTCTTTTGGGAACTGAATGCCACTGTAATTTAAATTGGAATGTTATTGTACTTACTCATTTAAGTCTTGGCAGTTGGTAGGTATAACATTTATTAGCACTAATTTAGTGTTTCCAACTTCGTTAGCGGTAAGATGTATTTGGGCCCTGTTAGGGTTAGTTTTGATATGAACTCACATGAATACTCAACTCTTTGACATAACTTTACTCTTAAAATCAATGGAAAAATGGTCATAAAAAGGCACCATCTTTTTAGCAACTTAAAAGTGGAGGTAAACCCAGTTAAAGCATATCTTGATAGTTCAGCATGGATTCAATGCTTTAGCAGCTCCCAAAATATCTATGTTATTAATATTGAAGAATTCAGTGTCAGAATTCAAGCTTATTTTTTTCTGGTCAAAAGCTAAAGTAATAGTTTAAAATATCTATAACAAATATAGCTTGGAATTAAAAATGGGAAACTTCAGTTCCTTACAACTAATGGACTGAAGTTTTGAAGAACTAAGTTTCTGTTATGTGATTTAAAATTGAAATTATTCCATCAAAAGTTTTTTTATCAGATGGACACCATCTAGAATGCTCTGTAAAGAACAGATTAATGATTATTAACCAAACTCATGACCACTTCAAGGAAGGGAAATATCAAAATAGAAATTGACAGTGAAAAGATAGAATGTGTGGAAAAAACCACTTTCTTAGGATCACAGATAGTTGGAAGTGGTGAATGTAGCACAGAAATAAAATGTTGGATTGCACTTAGTTGCCAGCAATGATGCATATGAACTGAATATGGAAAAGCAAGGACATCATCCTGGCAATCAAATGCAGGTTAGTTTGCTCTATTGTGTTCCCCGTAGCTACTTATGGTTGTGAAAGTTGGTCTTTAAAAATCAAAACAGAAAGAAAATTGATTAGTTTGAGCTATGGTGCTGGAGAAGGCTCCTGCATATTTCTTGGACAGCAAAGGTGACTAACAATTAAGTACTCATTTACTTTGCCCATGGCATGGAAGGAAATTCACTGGACAAAACAATTATGTTAGTGGTAAAAGGAAACTAGACTGTCAAAGAACACAGTAACTGGACACTATCAAAGCCAGAACATAGGAAAACTTAAAGAAATAGTGCAAGATTGGAAGATACAGATAGACCTGGATCATAGAATTGCCAGGGATCAGACTCGACTGAATGGATAATATCATCGTCGTCGTCATCATCATCATCATCATCATCATCATCATCATCATCATCATCATCATCATCATCATTATCATCATCATTATCATCATCATCACACAAGAAATTTAGGGCACTTAACTCAAATGTTATAATCATATTTCTCTTTACATCTCTTTTGGAATAATGGCATATAGTACCTTGACAGAATTATTAGAAAAGACTCTGGTTATAAAAAGATGTAGATTGTACTGAATTATATATTGACAATTTGGAATTTAACATGTTCAGAACAAATATGGGTTTTTGTTCTCCTATATTATCAAAAAGAATAATCTTTAGAAGATAGAAAAATAGTATAATTTGAGATAAAAAGATTGGATTTAAGAGATGTGTGAATTAGCATTTTTTGAGAAAATTATATATTGGATTAATCAGAAAATGTCACATTATCTTTCCCTTTGTAAAAAATTCATGGCCAACTCTGTCAACATTTTTATTTAAAAAAAACATGAAAGATCACATGAATTTGGAATATAGCTATAATCATAGGTTTGGAGATTTTTTTTACATATTTTCTTGTTTTTCTTTCCTTTCATATTTGTCTACAGTAAATTGTTCATTTTTATTTTACATTACTTTATGTCTGTTGAAAATGGATTAATCAAATCTAAAATATAAAAAAATACAATGGGAAATCTTGCACACTGGGGTGGCCCTGGCTTAAGTTGGAAAAACAATGCAGTATTCATGACTGTTTTTTGTCACCAAGGATGTTATTGCTTTTTTATTGTTTTTATCCTTATAAAGCGCTCAGTATCACTGAGAGTGAGTTGGATGACCATATAAATTTTCTTAAAAAAACAAGTATTTAATTCTTCAATCATTTAACAATGTTGAAATACTTTGTTGGTTCAATGCTCATATTGCTTTTATTGCAGATTAGTGCAACTTGCATAGCATTCTTGGGAGAATGAAAGTATGGGATATTGTTTATATAAATAAGCCAGCTTAAGATCCCATCTTGAAAGCTATATTTTAACAAGGTACTTCAAAGTACTTTATCAGTTAAAACAGAATTCAAGATATAAAAAATGTCTTCCTTGTTTGAGTTATTAAGAGAATGCATATTTATAAAAGGCTAAGGCATTCTGTGTGTACATACCTTCAAGTCATTGTTGACTCCTAGCAACTGCCTGGACAAATCCCTGCAGTTTTCTTGGCAAGATTTTCCACAAGTGGTTTGTCATTGCCTTCTTCCTAAATTTGAGAGAGAGGGACTGGCCCAAGGTCACCAACTGACTTTGTACCTAAGATGGGACTAGAAATCCCAGTCTCCTGATTTCTAGCCTGGTGCCTTAGCCATTGCACTAAGCAGTCCTACAAATATGTCTCTTAAAATCTTGGCCTCAACAAACAGAGTTAGTGAGTGCTTTATGGGGCTATAAGGTTGATGTGTAACCCAGTGGCAGGATTCAAATATGTGAACAACCAGTTCTCTGTGTGGATGCCGCTTCGGGAAGTCCATTCTGGGCCTGGTCAACAAAAAATTAGCTACTGGTTCTGCTGAAGTGGTGTGAACTGGCTGAATCCCACCCCTGGTGTAGGCCTGTGGGAAGCAGCCACAACAGCACCTACAGTGCAAGTGGTTATTTGTTACCACACTATTCCACTGCAGGATGAGGGCAGCGGCTCTTTTTTTTCACACTGCAGAGGAGTATGTGACAATTAAGATTCTCATGACATTAAAGATGGAGAGGAATCGATTCAATTCATTCCTGAATGAAAATGTAAGAACTGAAACCAAGTTCCTTTGTAATAATACTGAATGTTCAATGTACTTTGCCAATTGAAAGTCTCTGTGTGAGAGAGACAGTGAGAGAACGTGAGAGAGATGGTGGGAGAGAGCACACCTACACCAATGTATAATTCTTGGAAACAATTTCCTCACATTTAAATGAATAAAAATACTTATTTAAGAGAACATGTGCTCATAAGAAAAATTCTAAGTAAAAATGCATATGGGTGAGAAAATGTGCAGCAAAAAACATCTAAATTTTAATGATTTTTTTTTTAAAAAACCTCAATGGAGTCAGCTGGACTTAGAAATTATAAATGAGCAACTATTAGAAAATGACAGATTCAATGGTCTGTACAAGTCAGCTGGATTTCCTAGGAGAATCAGTCCAGCAGTCAAGCCATTGTTGTTTATTTTATTTGTTGTGACAAGGAAAGAAGGCTGCTTCTGGATGAGACCAAAGGCCTCTCTATTAATTGGTTTCATTTCCAGAGGACCTGAGCAGATGATTCTGGGTAAAATCTACAAATGGGGCATGATGAGAACTTTTCTTTCTCATTTTGTTGAGAAACAGATAATTTGAAAACATTGTCATCTCTAATATATATACTGCCTTCCACAATAGTGGCTATTGGTTGTGACTAATTATTTCCCTGAATTTTTCTGATTCTTTCTTAAAGCTGTCTCATTTTTGTGGCCGGCATCATGACTTACAGTTGGAAATGTTATAGTTTAATGATGAGTGGAAAAGCTCTCTTTTGTTTGTCCTCGTTCCTACCATTTAACTTTATTTCAGTCTATTTTTCATTAAGGTACAGCCTTTAAACAATTCAACTAAATATGATAGTACTTCGGCATCTAAATCATTATGAATATCATAATACTTTCCCTCTTTCTATTAAAATAAGTAGACATACCATTTTTAATTTGGAGGAATTACATTGAGTTTACTAACCACACTTATGCACAGAATTCAAGTGTGCTGAAATTTTCTGATTTTCTTATGCTAAATTCTGCACTTGATTATGTGCCATCATTCTCGACTCCTTGATCATACAGATAGATTTTCTCCATGAGAATTCTGGGTGACAGTGCTAATTTTATTTGAAGATTTTTGAGAAGAGCTGCTAAGATGATTAGGGGCCTGGAGAGAAAAACATGAATAACGGTTGCAGGAATTGGGTATGGTTAGTTGACAGAAAAGAAGGATTACGGGTGACATGATAGCAATATTCCAGTATTTGAGGGGCTGCCACAAAGAAAAGGGGGATCAATTTATTTTCCAAAGCACCAGAGGACAGGATAAGAAACAATGGATGGAAACTAATCAAAGAGAGAAGCAACCTGAAATTAAGGAGAAATTTCCTGACAATTAGAACAATTAACCAGTGAAACAGCTTGCCTTCAGAAGTTGTGGGTGCTTCATCACTGGAGGTTTTTAAGAAAAGACCGGACAGCCACTTGTTTGAAATGGAATGGGATCTCCTGCTTGAGCAGGGGGTTGGACTAGAAGACCTCCGAGACCTTCCTTCCAGCTCTATTCCAAATTGAATTGAAAAAGTGAATTGAATTGAAAAAAACTAAAATTATGTCAGAACCAGGACTGAATATTTTTTTTATCCAGTGACACAACTCTCTTTAAGTAAAATTCCAGATTTCCATATATTAGTGCTGAAATTCGTTTTGTTGACTGTATTTTGTTGTACGCTTCCAAGATATTTAATATCAGTGATATAATAACAGTGATATACTTTTCAATAATCTCTTAAAAACCATTGCTTGTTTCCTTAATAATCTGTTCATATGGCAAAGATGCAGATATTGATACCAAGTTTTGAATTTTCAGAAGAATAAGCTGGCTGCAAAAACAAAAAAACAACTCTTGGTAGTTTAATGCATTTATAGAAAAATGTGGTGGTATGTATGCTGAGGTATGTTGATTATAGATATTGAAGTATATGTACTTTCCTATGCAGAGAATGATAGCAAAGGTTAGCTTGTTTGAGGTAATGAGATATATGGGTCAGAAATTAATGTATCAAATATTAAAGTATTTGTATTAGATCATAAATTGTATCTGTGTAAATGCCAAATTTTAGCAAGTAAATTAATTTGTTGATCTTAAAATATTATTTTGCTGAATGTTGCAGATATTTTACTTGGTAAAATAGTAATGGTAGTACATGGTCTGTTGGAAGAAATGAATATTTGTTCAATAAGTAAAAAAATTAATGAGGACTGAATTGCAAAACAATATTGGAAGGAAGGAAGAAAAGAAGGAAGGAACAATGAACAAATGTGTTAGAGAAAGGGAAAGACCAAGAAAGATGCAGTTGACTGAAACTCATGAACACCTGAAGAGAAATAGACGAGAATTTTAAAGAAAAACAGGCAATGTATGAAGTAGCGTGCAGACATAAAAGCAAAAGTGGTCTTCCAGGAACAGATAGATATGGAGAGGAATAGTAAGTAGTTTTGTGAAAACTACAGCTGTGCTTCTTTCCTTTTTGTTATCTCATGCTTTTAATTTTTTAAAATGTTTTTTTCTATTTCTCAAAATTGCTTACTTTGAAAAGGAATAGCGCGAAAGGTATGTAAATATATGCATATGGAAATTATTTTTTTCTCAGATATTAATTTGGTTTTCTACTTCTATAATCTGTGTTTTTTCTCAGTTGTAGCCCCCTCACCTTTATCCAACCAGCCCACCTAATAATTAAAAAAAAATAGACTTGTAGACAAAATAATATTAACAGTAACAAGTTAGATTTAGATACCACCTTTGGCTTTTTTATGGATTCCCTCTTCACTTTTAACTCACAGTTACAACAGTATGAGATAGGCTGGACATAATTTTGTTATACAGCCTTGGATTCTGATTTTCAAATAAAATAAATTTACAAGACTTTAGAAACCCACTGAAGCCTTGTATCATGTTCAAAATATTTTAAAAAGTTTTTCAATTATTGCTTATTTAAGGATTTTCCCCCAACCATCCACCCAAAGGAATAGGATCATACTCACATAAAATCAGACCAAAGAACCATAGAAGACAGAAAATTTTGGCCATATTTTTCTTTTGGCAATCTTTCTTTAGAAAAGGAAGAGGAGAATTATGATTAATTTGATGGATGAAATAGGTTCCCATTAGTGGAAGAGGATGTGATGTCAGCTACCTCCCCTCCCTCTCAGAAGAGTTTGAGCTTTCCAATGAGCAAGTTGAACAAGAATAACCTGAAGGGGCATCTGGTGGATTTTTATGCAAAATTGAAGACAGTCAGCTACCTTGCTTATCCAGGCCATAAACAATATGGGAAACAGTTAAAAAGGAGAAGGTATGCAAAAATAATGGTTTATAAGTTCAGTTTAGCTTCCTGCAACTGTCTTAGAACCTCCTATATACCATTTGTATATCTATGTGCATTATTTATGCAGATTAAGCTGGGATAATGAGGTTAAAGGAACATTAAGATCATCATAGAGTAACAGTACTCTGTCAGCTCTAAAAATATCCAACTTTGATCGCCATCATTCAGCAGAAATTCTCAAAATGCACAGAATCACCAAGGACTGTGTATTTGGGTACCTGGACAAATGTTGATCACTGGAAATGTGGGGGCAGTATAAGCTAACCTCTCATACATTTCTTCAGATGATAGGATTATAACATCTTTTTGGAATAAAATCTTAATATATATGGTTTCATCATCATTTTAGCCATTGTCTATCCACTGCAGGATGAAGGCCTCTTCTGCATATTTCCAACCAATATGGTCCTGATCTTTCTTTTGTCAATTGGGCCCACAATACTTGCTGATATCGTCTATCCTTTTTGCTTTAGGTCTCTTTTGTGGATGCTTTTTATCAAGTGGGATCCATTCCACGACTGCCTTAGCCCACTTGCTGTCAGTTCTTCTCGCTATGTGACCAGCCCATTTCCATTTTAATCATCAACTCTCTTGATGATATTGTATACTTTCAGTTGTTCTCTAATCCATGTGCAGGTCTTTCTACCTTGTCTTGTAATGCTGAGCATGTATCTTTCCATGGCTCTTTGCGCCACTCTTAGCTTTTGAATTGATTGTGAGGTTAGTGTCCATGTTTCTCCAGCATATGTTAGAGCAGATAGCACACACTTTTCTCTTCAGGCATAGGGGAATCTTGTTCTTGAAAATTATGCTTACTTGCCGAATGCCTGCCAACCACATTTAATATGCCATTCAATTTCCTTTATTGTATCATCTTTTATTGAGTTCCATTGGACAAGGTGCATGTAGTGGTCTACTACGTCTAGTTCTTCTCCAGATATATATATATATTTCTTTGTTTGGTGAATTTATTAAACATAACCTGGCTCTTTTTCAGGTTTATTTTTAAGCCAAATGCTTTGTGCAACTCTTATATGTGTCTTTGTAGTTCTTCTGGGTCTTGTGAGAAGAGAACAACGTCATCTGCAAATCTTATGTGATTTAAATAGGTGACATTGATTTTTATCCCATCTTTTGCCCAGTCTAGTTTGTGAAATACTTCTTCAAGGCAGGCTAAGAAAAGGATAGGTGATATTATATCGCCTTGTCATACAATTTGTTCTATGTTGAGTTCCACTTTGAGATCATTAAGGCAAATTTTCGCCATTGTTTTTTCATATATTGATTGTAGTAAGTTTATGTAAGCAATTTCTACACCTTGGTTGAGCAATGCATTAATTATTACTTGCTGGAATACTGAGTCAAACACTTTTTCATAGTCAATGAAAGCATGGTGTACTCTTTGTGCCTTTCAATGACTTGCTGAAGAATCTGGATGTGATCCATTTTGTTGTAACCAATTCAGATCCCTGCCTGCTCCTTTGGCTATGCATTATTCTCAATATTCTTTATATATACAGTAGATGGTATATGAATTGGGGCACAGTTGATGAACAGAGGACCAAGTTGCATATCATACTGCAAAGATGGAAGCCCACAGTGTCAATCAAAGTGTGAGGCACTCATAGCACACACACAAAAAATACATTACAGAAAAAGAGCAGTTTTTTGTAATTTCAAAATATTGTGAGAAATATTTTAGAGGGGTGAAATAATCATTTTATCTCTTTGTCCCATCAACCCCCAGCTTTGCTGTTTTCCTTATTACCTTCTGGGAGGAGGCTTCGTGGTATCTGAAGCAGAACATCCAGATTCAGTCACAGCTTTGTTCCATACAGTATTAACTTTGTGAACTCTAAAGCTTCCTCCTTCCATTATGTATTCAAGATGGACACTGAATAATATTTATATGTTACTTATATGTAAGGGTGTAGGTCCATACATATGTTGTATATAGTATGTTTTAAATGTTTTATGTATGTGTACACTTTGAGAGGAAGCAATTACATTTCATTTTTAATGTGTGCCATTGTGTCCACAGTAAAAAAGGACAATAAAGATTATCTATCTATCTATCTATCTATCTATCTATCTATCTATCTATCTATCTATCTGTCTGTCTGTCTGTCTGTCTGTCTGTCTGTCTGTCTGTCTGTCTGTCTGTCTGTCTGTCTGTCTGTCTGTCTGTCTGTCTGTCTGTCTGTCTATCTTTACCTTTTTTACATATGAAATAATCTTTAGGTTTTCTATGTGCAAACATTTCATTTTAATACATCATTAAACCTCATACTGCTTATGCTACACTGATCCTAGAAGATTGTTTGGGATGTGTTGGAAATGCTTTTATTAGCTGTTGGAAGGAACAACAACAACAACAACAAAACAGGAGAAGGGAGAGTCCTACAGTAACAAACAGAGGCACCATTCCTGATAGGACCAAAGAAAGAATTAAAGTGTAATTAGAAAGAATAATATTTAGTCCTAGGGAAAAATAAACTCTTGAAAATGAGAAGACAGTGGTGGATCCAAAGATAAAATACTACAGAATATTAAATGAATAATTTTCCAGGCTAAAGAAGTCATATATAAATATAGTAGCTAGAGAGAAGTTACTGTTCTGAAACTGATGATTTTTTAGAATCTAGTACAGAACTACCTATTTGGTAACTAAAATCACTTTTAGTTCCCTTTGCAAAGTTTTGTAACAATACAATTTCTGATCTAAGCACTACCCTGAGCTTCAGTTTGACATGGAATTAAGTCAGACATTGTTAAATATTTTTCTTTGTGATTCTGCTGTCACCCAAAATAGTCAGGGAAATGTCCATATCAACAATGAAGAGTCAATAAAATAGCAAGGTTTTAAAAATTGTCAACTGATGCAGAACTGGAATGAAATAAACACATTTGGAAAAATGAGAAATTATTTGTCAACCAATTTTCTCTCTCTATCAACATTAGTATGATAGTGATTCCTAATTCCAAGTGAATGGAAGCCTTCATCAACACAACAACTTCTGTTGTACCTCTATGATGTTTCAGTTTGCTCTCTTGAATTAATGATCTTGAAAATTAGTGTCTCCTAAGGTGAAGATGAAAGGCAGAGATAGACCAATAGCTGGGAGGTCTAAAGTTTCATTCTAAACTTTTGGACCTCCTCGAATTTAATAGCACAAGATATATTGCTTGAGAGAAGAATCTTTATATTTAATCAAGTTTAGAATTGTTTTGATTTGAAATTATGTGAAGACTGAAGAACATATTTCTTCTCTAATTTATTTTGGAAGAGGAAGATTGTTTGTACTTGTGGAATTTTTTTTTTTTATCTTTGACTCTTAATGACGCCCTTGATTTTTGTATCTGTATGTCTTACTTTATGGCTACTGGGAACACGTACAAATTTTAGTTTGTTTTACAGCTGGCTCAGTCTTCCTTTTTTCTCCTCTTCCCTCTTTCTATGCCTCCCCCCTTGCTTTTCCTTTTTCATATTCCTATAAATCAGCATTCAATTATAATATATTATAATAGCTTAATCTGAAAAAGATTCTCCCTTTTCTTTCCCAGTGGTTCAGGTAACAAAGCAGTAATTTGATTAATTGATTCATTTGTGCAAGGAAATGTTGTATAATGCCTACCTGGGGGCCAATCTGGGTTTATCGATTTTTAAAAATCATCACCATTTTTAAAAAATCATTTATTTTTTTCTCATTGCTTTGATTGAGGTGTAGCATGGATTAATCTGGAAAATGCCTTTTTTCTTGTGACTTTTTTAAAACATCTAACAGTAATTTCTCTTTTATCATGGAATGTTAAAAGGATTGGAGTCTCCAGACAAATGTAGCTGAGTTAAAATTGGATCTAAAAGTGTTTTTTGCAGGAGACTCCTATGCTGCATGAGGATAAACAGTTTTTACAGGATAAGGTAAGGTGGAAATTCAAAAGAAGTATATGCAAGAGTGAACAAAGCATGGTTACCATGGAAAGAGATCAGTGGTGTGCTCTGTGATCAATGCATGCCAATTCATCTAAAATCAAAGTGCATAAAATCATGGTGTGCCTAGCAGCTCTATATAATGGTGAGTGCTTGCCAGTCACCAAATGCATTGAATGTGTTTTATATGCCAGGGAGATGTGCATGGTTCATTGGTCATTAAGAATTTCTCTCCTTGACTGTGTCATCAATGACACAGTTCAGAAGCAAATGGGCACCGCGCCAACATCAGAGAAAATATGGGCAAAATGCCTACAGTGGTACAGCCATGTTCTACAAGCAGCATCCTACATTGCCTTCCACTTTAATATAGATGGCAAGCACCAACATGGAAGGTAGAAGCAAAGATGGCAAGATACAATAAATGTAGACATGAAAAATGGAACCCACTCAAGGGAAGATCCTTTTCTGTAGTAGCACCCATTTTTTGGAACATCATTCCTCCAAGGTGAGATTGTCCGCAATTTTATTGTCCTTCTGGAAGGCCCTGAAAACTTGGTTTAGCCATCAGGCTTGGGAGACCCATGGAAGACAGGAACCTATTAAATTAATGTACTGTGTGTAAATTTAGAATCCATTTTCCCATTTTTATTATATTTTTAACTGCTTTAATTGTATTTTAATGTCTTTTTAAAATCATATTATTTGACTTTCTAGTTTAATTGTGTGTGCCACAGGTCACAAGCATGAGATTGAAAAAAAACCTTCCTTCCT